CATTCAACACAAAAATATTTTAAATGCCAAAAACATTTATTTGCATCATATAATTTAATATCAATTTCTCCATGTAACATTTCCGGGCATGATATGCCAAAATAATTTAGACTTTTTGTTCATTGCAACTGTGAAGATCTAATATTGTATAAGTGTCAATTATAAATCCGTCCAATTTGACCCGCCTACTTTAGTCTTTGTTAACAAGTTGCCCCAAATCGACCAACCCAACCTAACTCGACTCTATCGATACTTGATTGAGTTGAGTTGGGTTGGGTTTCAACCTTTGCACGGGTTAGGTTGGGTTAAATTATAATCAAACCGATTATCTTGGTTTGGGTTTGGGTTGAGGCAAAAACCGATCCAACCCAACTCATGCCCACCCCTATCTCCAAGTTTCTTAAAAAGTATAAGATCAATGTAAATATAATGTATGATTATGCTACTATTTGGCAACCCTTATTTCAAAACTCTTTAATTCTTATAATCATTTTCAATTATATATTTACACAATAAAATATTTTGTACGTAAACCCAAAAATTTTTCTCTATTTTTTAACCAAACATTTTTCAAAAAAGCACTATTCAAAACTTAATTTTCTTAAAATAATGGTCATTAATCATGGGCTATATTATAATGTACTTGATANNGGGCTATATTATAATGTACTTGATAGGGTAGATTCAATAACACACTACAATAATAAGAAACAAAATGCACATTTATATATCAAAAAACTTACTAATTTTTAGCCCAATTACATAAATATAAATTTATAAAAAGTAATTTTTTTGTGGCTTCACAATCAACACAGTCAACGACTTTTTAATAAATAATTTGCTGTAAAAAGTTAAAGTCCTACTTATGATAATTGTGCCAAACAAGCCTAAATAGTTAATATCGACTTTAAATTTTTTCAGCTGTTAAAGAAAATAAAATAAAAACGAAGAAAAGCTCTAAATTTATCGGGCCTGCTCAAAACAAAAACTTCCTAACAGGCCAAAGGTTAAATTTTGGGAAAAATTCATATAACGGGTATTAAATATGCACCCGTTCAATTTTCCGAGATTAAGTTTAAAATTTCAAAAGCAGGTATTAATTCAATATTTTAATTTTAAATAATAATAATATTAAGGGTGTGTTTGAGCCATATTATTTTGGAAGAATGCATTTTGAAATAGTAGATTGATAAAGAATGTGTGATTGAAAAAGAAGAAAAATTTATTGATGTGATGAAAAATATTATTTTATTGAAAAATGTGTGGTTGAAAATGAGTAGAAGAACGAAAACGAAAAATTTAATAAGGCTCAAACAGGGGCTAAATTAAATTAATCTACCCATCCCACCAAATCCCCGTCCCTACCCACACTCACTCCTGTGCACCCGTCCGTCGTCATTCCCTCGTACAGTCGTCGATATCCACTCGTCAACATCCATCCTCACAGTTACTAACATTCAAATAACTTCACTGGAGGAAAAGATAGAATTTATTGAGATAGCGAACAACTTCTTTAGCGGCAAATTGATCGTCGCTCGACGACGACTGAACATCACCAAATCAGATATTAGAGATAGAGGGAGAAACATAGCGGTTGTTGGAGAACATTGACAGAGCATTGTCGATGATTGAGCAATGTTGGTGTAATTTAAATTTATTTTTTAAAATTAGAAATTGAAAAAAGCACCCGATGTAATTTATAGAATACTCACGAGAGCAAATAATTTCGATTCTCACTGTCGAAATCTGGTTAATTGAATTTGTGACCAATTTGAAGAATTGAGGTCGGAGATATCAATGACGTGTGAGCAGATTTCTTGAATATGTGATCTGTGACCTATTCACTTTGACATATGACCTGTGACCTTATGGACATTGATATGTGACCCACATAAGATTATCATAGAACTATGAACTATACAATATGACATGTGACCTCTGGAGTATGACTTATAACATACAAACATGATCTATGACCAAATCTATTTGATCTGTGACTTGTGAATATTTATGCGTGGCCAATGCACAATAACAAATGATCTGGTACATGTGACCTGAGACCTATCACCAATAGAGACACCAACAATAGATATCAACACAATATTTGACATACACTACATGAACATGTGACCACCACAACATTAAAAGCATCACCACAAACCACAATAAAAATGACTTATAAACCACCACAAAACCGCTGCAAAACCACCACAAAGTTATTAAAAATTATCATATAAACTACCGCAAACCACCACAAAAATAACCAAAAACTCTCTACACAAGCTCTCGCAAACCACCACAAAATCGCTGCGGCGATGATCTGAGCCCTAATTGAAAAATTGGGAAAGTGAGATTTTAGAAATTGGTTTCTACTTCCTGCTTCTAGAGAGAATAGAAGACAAATGGTGAAAGAGGGAGTGTAGAACCAAAATGATAAAGAGATAAAGTAGGGAAATATTAATAGAGAGAAGGGAGAGAGATTTTAGGTTAGTGAGAGAAACGAAATTGGGATTAAATCGGGCTTGGACGAGTTAGAGGGTGGTGTGTAATTTAATTTTATTATTATTATTATTATTAAAATATAGAATTACCACCCGATTTTTGAATAAACAAACATTCAACCTGTTTTTTTTTTGAATTGTAATCTATAAAAAACTGTGTGTGTATGTAATTTCCACAATACTCAATTTCCTCCTTGGATCTATTTTCCCCAATTAGGGCCCAACTCACAGATCATAATTGCTAAGAAATTGACACTGTTAGCGATATACAACCACTGCAGCACCGTCGCTGGGTGCCGTTCCTTCTTCTGCAGGTCCCCTCTCTCTATGTAGATATATAGTTCGAGTTTCTCCTATTTATACAATAATTTACTGCATGTTATCAGCAATCCTTCTCTCTCTCTCTCTCTCTCTCTCTATTTATACAATAATTTACTGCATGTTATCTGCAATCCTTCTTTTCCTTCTCTCTCTCTCTCTCTCTCTCTCTCTTCAGATTTTGCAATTGCATACTTTTTGTGTTTTTTTTCCCTGTATGAACTGAAATTCTCCGTGCTAAAGTTGCTATTCTAATTTCAAAAATTTTGTGCTCCTTTAATATGTTAAGAAAATTCGTTTTGAGAGGGAAGAGCAATCGTGTCAAAATTTATATAGCAATCGTTTTGAGTTGGCTTGTACTTTTTGTTTTCTTTCTTGACATTTGACCACGAATTCTTATTTAGTTAGATAATAATATGAACATTAATAGTTGGAAGTTAGAGTAACTCTTTTGAGTGCCTCCGTAGAGCTGCAAATTAGACAAAGTGATAGTCAAATAAAGTGCACTTGATGAATGGAAATAGAAATTGAAACTTTTCCAATTAAATCTATAAAATGAAATCTGCTGGTAGTGCTCGAGGACTAAGCAAGTAACTGGAGTCATCAAACAGGTATAAGATGCCAGAAAAATGTGAATACATGTTAATGATTGAGATTCATAAGTTGGTGATTTGATATCTTTGCTTATAACACATCTAAGCGCTTCCTTGCAATTTGAAGTGTAGGAGTCAAATTTAGTAGTAGAAGCCTAGAACGGAAAAAAATGCTGATCTGGTTAACTATGTCAAGTCCACATTCTTATTAAGATTTTCTCGTCAGACTAATCAATGTATCATGTATGAGTAACCTTTTATGTTTCAGTGGGCAGAAAATTATGAGTTTGATTTCTAATTAACTTCTGTAAGATTGAAGCTATTCCTTGATAGATAATTGTGATAAGATCCCAAGCAATTTGTCAGAGTCTCAGTCTGTTGAAGCAAAAGAAAAAGAAATTATAGTTGAATTGCTGAATAAGAATGAAAATACAAGTTTGGCAGGTTTTTGAGAGACCTCTGTCTCGCCCCTCTTTTCCGAACAATATGAATGAATTGCAGACTATCCCCTCCCCCATTTATTCAGTTAGTTATTCCTCTCCTCTCCCTCCCCTAACTAATTAACAAACTAATAAGCTATTACAATAAATAGTAAACTAGATCCTATTAAATTGATATATGCCAAACTTGTTTCGCAGTCTGGTCTTTGTCTTTTAGGTCTCAAATTATACATTTTCTCGTAGGTGTGCTATGTGCACTGTTAACCTCTTCCTTAATTTTAAAGGGCAGGGAAGTTTGATGCTATTTTTCGAATATTTTTGCAAATATGCTGTTATTATTCTTAGTAAACATTAGCTCTCATGCTGTCATGTTTGTCATACTTTTGGAACATTCATTTGCAAACTGTAATGCACAATCACAATTTTCTATTATTTTTTACAATTTCTTATTACATCTTCTGTAGGTTCTAAAGGTTGAACATTTATTTGATCATTGCAATGCAAATTCCCGTTAATGTTTAATTATTTAGAATCTCATTGATATGATCACTTGTTTATACATGGCCCTATAAACATTGAAGTTCTCTTTTACAATAGGGACTGGAGAGAAATCTTCTGAAGACCATAAGCTCTGAGCCAGTTTAGCATCTGATTCATATAATGATTAAGCTCTTTGATTCTCATTGTCACCTTCAAGATCCAAGAATTTTTAAAGTTGCCCCCATACTAATTAGAAACTCCCTTGATACGGGTGTTATCCATTTTGCTGTAAATGGAGTCTCTGAAAAAGACTGGCATCTGGTCAAGGAGATGAGTGATGCCTATCCTAGCGTTGTTCCAAACTTTGGGCTCCATCCCTGGTATGTCTCTGATAGAACCGACAATTGGCTAAACACTTTGAAGAAGTTCCTTGAGGCTACTCCCTCAGCTGCAGTTGGAGAGATTGGTCTGGACAAAGGTTCTATTGGAAGGAAAATTGATTTTACTACTCAAGTTGAAATTTTCCGAGAACAGCTTCAACTTGCCAAAGAGTTAAAAAGACCAGCATCTGTCCATTGTGTCCGCGCTTTTGGTGATCTTCTTGAGATAATGAAATCTATGGGGCCATTTCCTGCTGGCTTGGTTCTGCATTCTTATATGGGTTCTGCAGAGATGGTTCCCGAGCTTTCAAAAGCTGGTGCTTACTTCTCCTTTTCTGGGTTTCTCATGTCCATGAAAGAGAGCAAGGCAAAGAAAATGTTGAAATCCATTTCTCCTGAAAGGATTTTGTTGGAGACAGATGCACCAGATGCTCTACCAAAAGCAAGTGAATCAGATTCCCTATTCTTGATTGATAGGGAAGTTTCTGTTACTGAAGAGCTTCTTGATTGTGGGGAAAATTTGCTGACAAAAAAGGAGAGCACCTCTGATAATACATGCCATGATGAAAGTAGTGCTTCAGAACCCCCTGAAGAAAACCTCAACCATCCAGCTAATATTCATCATGTACTTGCATACGTGGCAAATTTACTTGAAATGACTAAAGAAGAACTTGCTGGTGTGACCTACCAGAACGCAGTGAGGCTATTCTCTTATGAGGGTTCAAAGCTACTTAAAGAAGGTAATTTAGTTTCTCATTGTCTAAGAGATTTACTAACATGTTTAGCATAATTATATGAATGGCAGACTAAGATAAGCTTGAATATTATCGCAACGGCTTTTCTTTGATACAGTTATAAGCATAATCATATGATTCCAGTGTTTGTATTTGAAAAATCACATTTCTCTGCGATTAATTGATTCTTCGAATCGTAAATATAGTCCTTTTACGATAAAAGATGTGCAGATTCTTCTTGTTTTCCTGCATTATAATCATTTTTATTTGTTTATTTTATTTTTATATATGATGGATTATTATCTCTACTATCATGCCTCAGTTCCTAACTGATGATCATCGTGCATTTCTTAAGACTGCAGAATTAATTGTTTGGTGATAGGAATGGCATCAAGAAATATATGCAAGATACATAAAAAATTTTTGTACAAGTTAAGGAAGTTGCTGTAAAAATCAATTTCATAAACATGCCCCTTTTTTATAGTGATAATTTATACTG